AAACATTATTGAGTTTACTCAGAACTAACTAATAACTAATCACAACACCACCTGCAAATCAAATTGTATCCTTGAAAGAGTCAAGCTGAGTTTTCTCAGCAGACTACAAGGGAATAAGAGAGACAAGGTGTTGGAGAAATTCTGGGCTGGGCAACGTGGGACCTGAGTTCTAGTCCCACCTCGGCCAGCTTGATCTCCTTTAGGGCTCACAGCACCCCTGAAAGGTTCTGCTCTCCCCGGAGGGTCTTGGGCTGAGAGAGGTAAGGTGACTGGCCCAAGATGACCAACCCATAAGAGGCAGAAGCTGGACTCGGGTCAAGTCTCTGTGACCCAAAATCCCTTATGCCGGAGGCTCCTATTTTAGGCTGCCTGCCCATCACCGAGGCCCTGGGTAGCAGCAGACTCCCAGAGAGTCTTCTTCCATAGGTCTGGAATGGGCCTAGCATTCTGCACTGGTAAACACCCCAGATGGCTCCCAGACAGGGGATGCAAGGCTCCCACTCTGGGAATTGCCACCCTCCACTGTACTGGCCCAGCCGGCCAGTCTCCCCAGGCACTGAGCCCCATCCTCACCTGGCAACCTGGTGTCCTGTGATACCGCTGGGCTGGGCAGTGGGACTAGGAGCCGAGAGCCTGCTGCTGTCAGTCCAAAGCGGAAGTTCCATTCCCCAGAGGCAGGAAGGGCTATCCCCCAGTGTTCCCCTCCCAGGGGCCCAGCAGGCCGGCCCCCCTCCTTGTCCTCCCCACTGTCTCCCCATCCAATTGCCTCAGGCAGTTTCAGGTCTCATTTCTGCAACCCAGAGGGGTTTACTGTAAATGGGATGGGTGGGTGGTGAGTTTGGTTTCGCCGACTCAGCAGCTGTGGGGAGAACAGGCTGTCCTGGGGAATGTCTGCTGGTGGCTCTGCTGCCAAGGCCGTCTGACCTCGTGATCTTCCGCAGGGGACAGGGGTGTTCCTCAGTGGTGATAATGTGGCTGGCCTGGTGTCTGAGTGCTGGATTTAGAGTCAGAGACCTTCATTCGTATTCTGGCTCTGCCCCTTACCAGCTAAGTATTTGCAGCCAAGGGAACCCAAGGAGCCCCAATTTCTTTCACTATATGATGGGACTATAATTATACCTGCTTTACAGATCTCACAGGCCACTGGGAGGATAATGGAGGAGAAAGGGCATGTGTGTGGAAGGAGTGGTGGCAAACTGTAAAGTGCTGCGCACTTGTTAATTGTTAATATCACTCATGTCCCAGCCTTCCCCTTTCTGGGCATCTCATCTGCCTCCTTCCCATTCTGTACCCCTGCTCTTTCCCTGTCCTCAGAAAATAATCTAATAATGAATTTTAAATACGCTCATTATTTATTTATATCCTGCCTTTGCTTCCAGTGGGGCTTTAAGCTAAAGACAATAATAGGCACAGGTGGAGTCCTGTTGCTTGTTGATATTGGAATCATACCCAGTTAGGACTGGAGAGGGGCTCGGAGGTCACCCGTCCCATCCCCTTCATTTTATATATGGGGAAACTGAGGCCCAGAAGGGCAAGTCGTTATTTAACAAATATTTATTGTTGGCCTCTAGGTGCTGGGCACTGGAGATAGAGCTCTGAGCAAATGAGCCATGGTTCCTGTCCCCATGGAGTGTCCCTTCGTCTGGGGGAGACTGTGTTGAACTTTGAATGACAAGAGGCTTCATCGCTTCTGTGATAAATGTCCAAAAAGCAGTTACTGCTGGAGTTCATACCTTGTGTTCCTGGCACCAGGACCTCAGCCTTCTCACTGTGGCTGGGTCCAGGGCAGTGTGACACCCTCTCAGGGAGAGCTGTCCACAAGCACCAGGGACTGGAGGCCCCTCCTGACATCCGTATTGCAGATAGAAAATCGCTGGACCTGTGGATGCCGACTGATGGAAACAAGTGTCAACTGCAGTGGGTAACAGGGAAGGAAAAGACGAGGTTGACAAAAGCAAAGGTTGGCTCAGCCAACTAGAGACCAAAGGGACCCAGGCCAGGTGAAGAGGGGGAAAAGGTGGCTTCCAAGAAGGGAGAAGGGAGTCAGTAGTTTGCAGGTCCAAGGGTCCATCTGGGGGTTCTAAGGCCACTTGGGCCCAGGCTTCTAATTCCTTGGTGGCTGGTGGCAATCGGGAAAGATCGGCTTGAGCTTGATGTAGAAGCAGTGAGACCAGAAACAGAAGCAGCAGAGAGGTGGGCAGGAGCATGGCTTTCGAACCAGCCACCCCAGGTTTGAATCTGGCTCTGCTCTTTCTATGTTATCTCGGGCACATTTACTGAGTTCAGCATCCTTGTAAATCAAGGCATGGGGCTGCTGTGGGGGGCCAGAGAGGTGGCTCTGCATGTCCAGGGCCCAGCTGAGTACCCATCCATGGTAGGCACCCAATGCAAACATGGGAACAGTATTAGTCGTATGAAGAAAAGACAGAATCTACCCTTGGAGCCTGGGAGCAAGGGAGCCAAGCCTGGATTAGGGGGCAGCCTGGACTCAGGGATCAGGGGCTGAGGAGTCACCAGGCCTTGACCCCTGAGTGGGAGCCAGCTGGTCTCTAGACCCATAAGATTGCTGATTTGCATCCCTGATAGAGAGAGGATGATCCTTGGAAAGAGTGGGGAAAAAAACCCTAAAATCCCTCAACTCCCCATGGTCTGAGAGAGATTCCTTGCAGCTTGGGGTGTCTCCTCCAGTTCCTCCCCCCGCCCCGCCTGCCCTCCTTAAAAACTCTTGCCCGCCTCCTCTCAGCACAGCAGACAAGCTGGCATTTTCAAAGGTCTGACTCTCCTGACAAAGAGAAAGCAACAAGGAAACAATTATGGAAAATAAGGATGGCACAAAAATTGTTGTTTCCAAAGTGCAGGTTTCTGATCTGACACTGTGGCCTCCATAAACGGTGTATTGATTTTTTTTAAACAAAAGAGAAATGAGAAGAAAGATGTATCACTTGTGGCATCGCTGGGCAGACTGCTATGTGGTTGATGGAGGGAGAGCTGTGAATGCCATGGCTGTGACCCTGGCTTGTCCCTGCCAGACACGCCCAGACTTGATGAACCAGGCCAGGTTCCTAGACCCTTGCCTCCTGTTCTTCCTGTGAGTGTGTGTGTGTGTGTGTGTGTGCACGCACACGCCTTTCTCTCTCTCCCTCCTTTCCTTCTTACACACTTCTCATGCCCTTACTATGTGCCAGGCATGTATTAAAGGGGCTCCTCCCTCAGTGGCATTCACAGTCCTGGGGGAGGCAGACCCGTAAGTGAGTAAGTGCGTGAAAGCCGGTCAGCAGACCACGGCACCAGGTTCACCTGCAAACCACCCACTTACCCACTGCCCCATCTTCCCCAAATCTTTACAGAACAGCGCTGGGTCTGGAAATCTGGTTGGTTTGTTTTATTTTGTTTAAATAAGTCTGCAGGTTAATTCTATTCATTACCAGATTTGGGAACCTGGACTCTAAAGTGTCATGAATTTGTGGTCAGATGTGTGCAGAGCACTATGGGGATACAAAGGGGAAAATCAGGGAAGGCCTCAAGGAGGAGGTGATCATTGTGTTGAATCCTCACAGTGGAGTGGGTATTATTCAGGTGAATGGACAGTTTGTGTGAGTGGATTGGGTGCTCTGCAGGATGAAGGCACAGCATGGAGGTGTGAAATGGCCCCTTTCAGAAACAAAGGAGCCAAAGTAGACACAGATGGTTGTAGAGCTCAGCTTGAGCCGCTGCTGTCACAGCGCATTGAAGTCAGCCAGTGTCTGCAAGAGCTCCGTGGGGCTCTGTGGAACCAAGCTGTGATCCCAGCTAGGACAGACGGGTTCTCCCAGGCCTGAGTGAGCCTGGAGTCTCGCTGGGCTCTGAGGATTGGACCTAAATGAAGTCTGGATAGGAAAGTTACACTTTTTATCTTTTTGCACCTAAGCCATCTTACATCGGGTCTCCCTGGTCCTCCAGCAATGATCATGGTGGCTGGGTTGAACCATCAATAGCCTCACAGTCCGAAGTTGAAACTTGTGAGCAGCAGTGATTTTAGATGATCTCTTGGAGGATCCTGGAATTTGTGAGTTATCTGGGGTGAGTCAGAATCTGGGGGGCCAATTCTCTCTTTCACCCACTCATGCCCACCTCAGAGCATGATAATAAATATTAAAATGAGTTAATGTGGGTAAAGCACTTAGCATAATGCCTGGTGCACAGTCAGTGCTCAATAAGTGTTAGCTATTATTATTATTATATTATTGGCAGGTGGCTAGTAAGGGGATCCGCACCCTTGACCTTGGTGTTATAACACCTCACTCTAACCAACTGAGCTGAACGACCAGCCCTTATTATGATTTTTTATTCACAGACTCATTTACTCTGCTTCGGTCATTCATTTACCCACTTATGCATTCATTAATTCACCTAGTCACTCATCCATTCAGCGCATTCATTGCACACCTCGTCTTTGCCTGCGGTGGGCTTATCCGAGGCCACACCCCTCCTGTGACAAGGCTCCTGAAATTCATCATAGGCGTGGGAATTCAAACTCACTCCTATTTAACTGTGAACTAGGACACCTGTAATGACAGCAGCGCCTCTCCCCCAAACAAGTGACAGCCCACGGCCTCTTGGGGATGTCTGGTGGCCTGTGACCACTCTTGAACATCTCTCTCCCACCAGGCCAAATGGTGCTGAGTGACAACACAGGCAGCCAAGCTTTACTGGGCACCAGATGGCCAGAGTTCAGAGCCCACAGACAGTTGTGACAGATGTGAAGTTCAAAGGATCGGCAGTGAGGAATCTGAGCCGTGCACATCCTCTCCCCCAAACAAGTGACAGCCCACGGCCTCTTGGGGATGTCTGGTGGCCTGTGACCACACTTGAACATCTCTCTCCCACCAGGCCAAATGGTGCTGAGTGACAACACAGGCAGCCAAGCTTTACTGGGCACCAGATGGCCAGAGTCCAGAGCCCACAGACAGTTGTGACAGATGCGAAGTTCAAAGGATCGGCAGTGAGGAATCTGAGCCGTGCACACTTACTGATTTATTTATTTATTTATATATCTCCCTGCCTCTTCCAAGACCTGAAAAAAAACTGAGAACAGCACCAGAGGTGTTGGTTAAGTGTCAATAGAACGGTACAAGCAGTGACTCGTGAAGGGGCTCAGAGGACGGACAGAACTCATGGGGTGGGAGTCAGTGCCTCTTCCAAGACCTGAAAAAAAACTGAGAACAGCACCAGAGGTGTTGGTTAAGTGTCAAAAGAATGGTAGAAGCAGTGACTCGTGAAGGGGCTCAGGGGATGGACAGAACTCATGGGGTGGGAGTCGGGGAGGACTTCCTGGAGGAAGAGTCCATCAGGTGGGGAGAATGGCCTGGGTCTGTGCAGGGAAGCCGGGGGCGGTGGGGCGGCCCATGGGGCTGGAGCAGGCCTGCCCGCCCTAGTCGGGAAAGAGCAGGAAGCCGGAGAAGACGCTGTCGGAACCCTGAGTGCCCACCATGCCGTTGTAGTCGTTGACAGCCAGCCACACCTGCTCGCCCACCTGCAGCTGCAGCCCCACGCCACCCGAGCTGACCTGCTTGCTGTTGGACATGTGGTCGCAGAAGATGGTCACCCTGACGCCGTTGTGGTACAGCTGCACGCACAGGTTGGCTGTCTGTGATGTGTGGTAGACAAAGTAGTAGAGGCCGGGGACTCTGCAGGTGAACTTGCCCGTGCTTGTGTCATAGTCCCCGTGCGGGTTGGTGATGGCCGTGTTGAACTTGACCGGGCTGTTGGGTGCTGGGTGCTCGGCGGTCTGCCGGGTGACTGTGAACACCGACTGATGCTTCTGTTTGTATCTGCCTTCCTCGCCCGGCTCCCCGGGGGGGCCCATAGGGCCAGGAACTCCTGGCATCCCAGATGGTCCCATGGGGCCATTTTTCCCCGGATGGCCAGGTGTGCCGGGTTCTCCCTTCTGACCCTTGGGTCCTCGTGTTCCGGGAATGGCTGGGATTCCTGGGGAGAGAGCAGGCAGGAAGGAAGTGGTGGAACAGGGGACAGGGAAGAGGGACCCTGGGGGTGTCCTCCAGGGAACACAATGCTGGGGTTCGGTCTCTAGACTCTTCTTCCCACACCTGGGAGAAGTGTGCAGAGAGTAAGGCTCTGGCCAGAGGGGAGGGAGATCCTAGTCTAAGCACTGCCTCCCCACGGACTTGCCCCCTGACCTTGTCAAAGGCACTTCCCTGTCTCTTGGCCTCAGTTTCCACATTTGTGGTGGAGAGGGCTGGACTAGACAGTATTAGGTGGTGTCAGAGCTGGGAAGGATCTCAGAATGTGTCAGAGGATGTGTCAGCCCAGGGCCAGCACATGGCCACAGATACCTTCTGTCTGGGCTGCACTATGTTTTAACCATCTAATTTTTAATTAGAGCCCAGCATTAACGCATTGAGAACTCACCTAGAAGTCTAGGCTCTCAGTCCTTCTTGACAAAAATCAGAAGATTGCTCAGAGGCAGATTTCCTCGGAAGCTCATGAAGCTTAAGCTTCAGGCATATTCACCTGCATCAGCCCCTTCAAGTCTTTTTGTCTATTTTTTTTCAAGTTTTATTCTGAAATAATTATAGAGTCATAGACAGTTGGAGAAAAAGGACATGTACCCTTGTACCCTTCACCTAGTTTTCCCCAGTGGCACATCTTTCATAACTAAAGTACAATATTGAAACAGGGAAATTGACATTCAGACTTCAGTCTAACATGCTCTTGTGTGTGTGTGTGTGTGTGTGTGTGTAGTTCTAATACAATTTTGTCACATGTGTAGATTTTTGTAACCACCACCATATCTACAATCAAGTGTGTCTATTGTTTTGTAGTACTTTTCTTAAAAAGGACCCTCAACATTTTATAAGCGTCAGAGCCCCCAAAACTTGTATCCATTCCTGAGCAGGGCCATCCCAGGCCAGCATCAGCCCAGGGGAACTGCTGGAGGGAACTGAATAGAAACTGCCCCATTAAGGGGGCTGCTCTCTCCAGCTCACCCCTGCCCCACTCAGCCCCCTTCTGCCCCTGTGACAGCTAGCCTGGTTCAACTTCTCTTATATTACAGACGAGGAAACTGAGGCCAGAGACTTGCCTTAGGCCACGCAGCTAGTATGAGGTGGAGTAAGGATTCAAACTCAAGTCTGGCTGATTCTGTTCCAACCCTGATGATCTGAGCCTCTGTGAGACTCTTCTCCCTTGGTCCAAACCATAGCCATCTTTTAAGCTCGGACTCCAGTTTTCTCTTCCAGGAAGCCCTCCTGGGCGCTCCTGCCAGCCTTCATGATTCCTTTCCTCCTCTGACTTCCATAGGGCTGATGTCTGTGTAGTTCCATTTATGACTTAGGATTTATGATTTACACAGATCCTCTATGGCTTGTGAACCTTTTAGGTCCCTGAGTTAAGAGTGTGGGTGCAGGACTCAGCAGACCTGAGCTTCAGGCTGTGACCCCGGGCAGGTGCCTCTGCCACCCCCACCCCAGTCTCATCTGTGCTGGCTCCAGACATGCTCTGCCTCTCACTCACAGACAAGGCACACAAATCCCTGGCCCCAGCTCTGGCCCCAACACCAGTCGTCCATCTAGATCCTCAGCCCCGTTGTCTCATGCTAGGGCTTGCCCACGCATCTCCACCAGAAGACTCTGTGGCTGTGATCCAGTCTTCTCACGCCCCATCCTGCCAACTCCCCAGAATCCAAGAGAGAGGTGAGCACAAATCTCTGCTAAAGACAATGATGACAATAGCCTGCACCCACATAGCATCTACCATGTGCTCAGTACTGTTTGATATTTACACTTATTTAATCCTCACAGCACCCCTGGGAAGTAGGTACTACCATCTCCCCATTTTACAGATTAGGAAACTGAGGCACTGCAAGGGTAAGTAACTTGGACAAGTTCACAAGCAGGAAGTGCTGAGCTGGGATTTGAGCCCTGGTGCATCGTACATACTCACTGTGTGGGCCCCACCCCCCGCAGGTGTCCAAGCTGCAGGGCCAGTAGCGGGTGGTTGTGATAAAATAGTGGCAGAGCACTTTAAAGTCTGCCCAAGGCTTTCACTGTACTGTCTCCTGAGATCCTCCCTGCCACCTGCAAGAGCAGGTGCCTTCTTCTCTCCCTGTTATGGGCTGAGGAAGGTGAGAAGCAGAGAGGTACACCGGGCCCCAGGCCACCTCGGGGAGGCCCAAAGCTTGGGCTCTGGGGACAGAGGAGGTGGACCCCAATGAGGATCAGGCTGTGCCCTGGAGACAGGCATGGTAGTGGGGAATGCACTTCCTGTCATCAAGTTGCTGGCAGGTCAGCCCAGAGGGATGCTCTGACCCATGCCCCCACACCCCAGCCCCCAACCAGCACTCACCTGGCTCACCCTTGGGCCCCGGCAGTCCGTCGTACCCATCCTTTCCTGGGGTCCCCGGCAGGCCTGGCATCCCTGGGATCGCGGAGCAGCCTTTGTTGGCCTGGCCCTGGCTTCCAAGTGGAAGTGCCAGCAGGAGCAGCAACAGGTTTAGTCCAAGGGGGTGCTGGGAATGGGGCCCCATGTCTGTCCTGGGGCAGGAGCTGGAGGGGAGAGAGCTGAGCTGCCCACTCAGCCCTCACCCACCCTCCTCACCCTCTGGCTCCCCAGGGCCCGTCCTGCTCAGCCCTCAGGAGCACCTCCCTGCCCCAGGTCCTGCAGCTGTCAGGCCCGATGGATGGACGGTGGGGCCTCTTCTTAAACCAGGCCCCCAGACTCAGCAGGCGGCAGGGACCGTCCTTGCTCTCACAAACCAAGCTGTCCCTGGTGCCACGTGTCAGAAAGGTGGCAGGGGGAGAAAACCGCCATTTATCCTTACCTGGGTAGAGGCCTGGCCTCACCTGGGAGTGGGAGTTTTCTGGCCTGGGCACAGAGATGTCCTCAGATCTTCTTCCCCTCTCCCAAGCAGAAGGACACCGTGTTAGAACAGGGCTGGGCACCCCCTTCCCTCCTGTCAACTCCCCTCCGCATCCCACATCCCCTTTCTCATAATTTTTCCTGACCTGACACTTTCTTTTGGGTGTTGAGCCAGACTGACCACAGTGACATCCGTGTCCACCCCCCGCATGGTCATGAGTGTCTGAAATGAGGAAACGTCCACTGCCCAGCATCTGGTGTGTGTGTGCGCGTGCACGTGAACATAAGGCCTGGGGGCACAGAGGTCCCCCAGAGTCAGGTTCAGTCCACATATGCCCATCCCCGTGGGTTGGCCTCAGACTCAGTTGTATCACAACATCCCTAGGAAGAAGCTGTAATTCTCCCTTTACAGATGAGGAAACTGAAGCTTGGGGAGGTGTAAGCCTTTGCCCAAAGTCACATACTATGTGCATGGTCCCTTGAGGTCCAAATCCTTTCTCTGACCCCTCCTCTCAGCTGCTCCCAGAATTAAATCTCATATGCACTTGTCAAGTGGCAGGCCTTATTCTAGAAACTTCCATATGCCCCATCCCAGATGCCACACTTGGAGGTGGACACTCAGATGGGGCAACCTTGATAGCAAGCAGCTATGTGGTGCACAGGCCACTCTGGCTACTTTCCAGCCCTGCCACTCCCTCACCCCCAGGCCTTCAGGAAACCACTGGCCTGGCCCCTCTGGGCCTTGATCTTCCTTTCTGTGTGGGGTGGGGGGGCTGTGAATGTTAGTGCCTCTTCCTTTGCTGGGGCCCCTGGTCTCCCCTCATGGTCCTACCTTACCTGCCAGCACCACCTTCCTCGCCTGCATTCCCCACACCCCCTGTCTCTAATCCTATTGGGGCTTCCAGTCAGGGCCAGGCTGGCAGAGCTGAGAGGGGCCCCTCCCCTCTCCCTCTTCTCCTCATATGAGATTCTAGTGACAAAGGGGGTGTCAGGCAGGAGAGGGTTCCTTCCTCTACCCTGCTCCTGACACCTGAGTGAGCGTTGGTTCCTCCTCTGTAAAATGGTTACCAATAGCTCCTCATGCAGGGCAGTGGCTGGGACCAGTGCGTGGTGCATACCCACTGCCTGGCCCTGTGCTGGGCACGAGCAAGAGTTCAGAGCCCTGGCCTGCCCTCACCGAGTGACCCTGCGGGCCTTCATGTCCTCATCGGTGCCTCCACCCTGTGGCATGGGGTTTCAGAGTGTGGGATGAGGTCCAGGACATGGATGCAGTTGGCCCTGGGTTCCCTGGCAAGTGGAGGGCAGAGATAACGACACTGCCTTATGGGAGACAGGGGCGATGCAGCCAGATGGCTCTGGGGCTCCCATCTTCCCTCGCCCCTCCTTCGCGCCTGGGACTGGCTTGTCCAGCAGGTGNAGGGCAGTGGCTGGGACCAGTGCGTGGTGCATACCCACTGCCTGGCCCTGTGCTGGGCACGAGCAAGAGTTCAGAGCCCTGGCCTGCCCTCACCGAGTGACCCTGCGGGCCTTCATGTCCTCATCGGTGCCTCCACCCTGTGGCATGGGGTTTCAGAGTGTGGGATGAGGTCCAGGACATGGATGCAGTTGGCCCTGGGTTTCCTGGCAAGTGGAGGGCAGAGATAACGACACTGCCTTATGGGAGACAGGGGCAATGCAGCCAGATGGCTCTGGGGCTCCCATCTTCCCTCGCCCCTCCTTCGCGCCTGGGACTGGCTTGTCCAGCAGGTGGCAGCCTCGGCCCGTTCTCAGTCTGCCTTGCCCCACCTGCCTGGCCCAGCTGGGCTCAGTCAGGCTCCTCCTTCCAGAGGGACCAGAGGTTTGCTTCGGTGAAAGAGGGATGGGTAGAATTTAGAGTTGCCTGCACCCACCGCTTCTATAGCCTGGCCTCTTCTGCCACTTATGGAGCCTCTGCCCATGACATTTTCTTTGATTCCGTTGCAATGAAATAAACCCTGCACTTTGGGGTCAGGTAGCTCTGGTTTGGATACAGATCCTGCCACGTTCTGGCAGTGTGACCTTGGGTAGGTGGCCCCATTCCTCCGAGCCTCAGTGTCTTCTGTTTCTTTCCCAGCCTGGAAGGGAGCTGAGGGCCCTTGATGAACCCAGCACTGCCCCGAGGCTGCAGAAGGTTGGCTGTCTCCCTGGGTGCCCCTCACTTCTTCATGACACCCACAGGCTATTGGTGGAGCAGGGTCCAGGGCAGCACTCTGAGAAGGCGTGCGTGCATGGCTGCGTATGTGAGGATGCTGAGGCCTTTTGTGTGTCAGTTAGTGGAAGGGGGACAGTCCCTGTGTCTCTGAGGACTGCCCTATGGGTGTGCAAGCCTGTGGGGGAGTCAGTGTGGGAGGCAACACGGGCATTTCTAGGCTTGTGCATGTTGGAGGGTAAGGAGGATGTGTACACCTGGGGTCAGCATGTGTCTGGGACACGGGTCTCAAGATGTGGGGGAGGGGAGTTGAAGGCATAACTAGTATATGTCTCCAAGGTGTGCACGAGTGTGTGCTGAGAGACGGCATCACTCTGTCCATGTTTTGGTGGGGAGTGTTTGAGTCTTGGTCCAGGAATATGGGTTCATCTGCATCTCAAGGCAGGTATGTGCATGTGTGTGTGTGGT